TTGCTGCCTGAGCCCCCTCCAACCAAGTTCCAACGCAGCACTGCTAAAGAGAGAAGTTAAGACAAAGTAAGTGGAGACAATTTTAGTATATTGAAGAACAGGTTCCAAAGCATCATGGGTGGGATAAGCAAGCAAGTATTCGGTGTGCTTCCAGCAGCTGCCAGGAAGAGGGTGGGGTGAGTGCGCCGCCCCCTCCATCTGTGGTGATAGGTTCATAGGCTGCCTCCAAAACAGCATCTCAGAAGGACTCTGAGTGGCAGAGGTGGCCAGGACATTCTGGGACTGTTCTTGTGTCGTTTGGCTCTTACGTCTTTATTTAGTTAGGTTTTGTTGTTGATGTTTTGGAACAGGGCCACACTATGTAGCCCAAGCTAGCTGCAGCTCACCCAGTGCTGGGATTCTGCGTATGCTGTCTCTTGAAGCTTTTTCCTTTTAGTTAATTAATTAGCTAATCAATTAAGTTTTGGGTTTTTTCGAGACAGGGTTACTCTGTGTAGCCCTGGCTGTCCTGGAACTCACTGTAGACCAGTCTGGCCTCGAACTCAGAGAGATCCTTCTGCCTCTACCTCCCGAGCGCTGGGATTAAACGTGTGCACCCCCCCACACACACCAGCTTTCTTTTTGTTTTTTTAAGACAGGTTCTCACTGTGTAGCCCTGGCTGGCCTGGAACTCACTATTTAGCTCAGACTGGCCTTGAACTCGGGATCCTCTTGCCTCAACCTTAGGATTGCTAAGATTGGAACAGTTCTGGGGATCAAATTCAGGGCTTCACGCATGCTAGAAAAGCAACTCCATCAACAGAGCTGCACCCCAAGTCCCCTAATTTTAAATTTAATTTACTGGAGTGTGGCTTTGCGTCGGGGTTGGCGGAGGAGAGTTTATGCCTGGGTCCTTCTGTGTGTGTCTCATGGTGGCTGTGGCCGTTCTTTCCCCATGCAGTGAATTTGGAGACCATGTGTGCTGACGACCTTCTCTCTGTCCTGTTGTATCTGCTCGTGAAAACAGAGATCCCCAACTGGTAACATTTTGTTGTTGTTAAAATGCTGTTTCCTCAAGTTCCTTTGAGAGGAGAGGTGGGGGGTGGGGAGATGAAGGGTAGGGGTGGGTAGGGGTAGGTAGTCCATGCTGGCCTCCAACTCTGGATCTTCCTGCCTTGACCTCTTGAGTTCTGGGATTGCAGGAGTGAGCTATTCTGACTAGCATAAAATACTTAAAAATCTGGCTGCTCTGTGTGTTCTGTATTTGGGGGCTGACTCCAAGCCTTTAATGATGTCTCTCTTGAGGGAAAGTGCTGTCCCTCCCCTCCATCCTTCAGGGGTGGCTCCCCT